AGTTCTACGCAATTCCAAAAAATATTCAGTCTGCGGTCAAAAATTCTCCACCAATGCTTCTAATTACCACTCGACAACTGTTGTTTTGCCATATGTTAAAATTAACAAGTTTGACTTATTGATATTGAGGCAAGATATTAAATATATTAATCAATATGATTTTTTAAAGGCAAATATGTTGATATTTATTGCTCAATTTTTCATTAATCTATAAGTAGTTCCTTATCAAAATAAGAAAAAAGCCTTCTTATCATACTTTCACCGTTAGGGTTATCAAAGATTTCGAAAACTGTCTATATACCAACCCTTTGTTATAATATTCATCCTGTTTTTGGTCATTGGGCCAGATAATTGAACCGTGGAAAATACCACATCAACATTGTAATTGTTATCTTCTGTGGAAATCTGAGCGCGGAACTTGTCGACCCTTTTAATGTCAAATGTCAAGAGTTCACTGCACAGACGCATCCCTTTTTAGCCACGGACTTAGCCTTCCAAACCGCTCAACCTTCATCTTGAAAAAGGTGGCTATTTTGGAAGTTTACTTTCCTGTCTTTCTCAACGGAAACATTTCCATATTGTACTGTTTAAAAAAAATAATGTTTCTGTGTTTACTACTTACAGACTACAATATAAATTTAGACAATTTTACGTCGTACTAGTAGTCGTATTAATGCGTTACACTAAATTTCAGTTAAACAGTTATGTTTAAACGTAGATTACACTATATAAAATCGAACTATATTGAAACAATGTCAGTTTAAATATTTAGAATATCCTTTAAAGCGTATTTTATGGACATATACGTTGGTTTTTATACGAGTAAATACCGAGAAAATTTATATATTACAAAAAAAAATCTTTTTGATGTTTAATCTACAATTCTATCACTTTTACTGTAGGTTGTTGCAAAATATTGTTCAACAATCTACAGTACAATGTGATAGAACTGAGAAAATTCCTTGCTGATTTTATGAAAATAAATTTTATTATACAAGCTAATTATTAAAGAAAGACACGAGAAAAAAAATAGGCGTCGGTGAATTTAATTAAATCATATTTAGTTTTCATTTTGTTATCTCGGATTTTTCGGAACGAATATCGTTCGGGCTTTATTAGAAAGCCCACTTCGTGAAGGAGGAAGCGTTAGGAATAAAATTGCATTTTCTTCTCGGAGCAATGTGGGCGTGGGTACTTTGTGAGTAATATAGTATCGACGCGAGGGTTGGAAAAGAAGATTTATTTTATTAGTTAGACTCGATGGTAGCAAAAATTAAATTTAATACTGTCCAAGAAGATGGACGATGTTGTTTCCAGGTCCGACAACTTTCAATTTGGCCCTTTTTCATTATAACATACGTTTGGCAAAATGATGACGTGTATATGAATGGAACCTGTTAAAAACTATTACAACCTACTTCACAACATAATAAAAAATCACCAAATCACCATATGACAGATATTTTTACAATAATCATAATCATCATATTAACATCCACTGGGTTGATTAGATAAATCAATAACTTATTACGTCATAAATAAAAACCACACTTTATACTTACCATCAATTTACTTGGTAGATTAAAATTAGTTGATTGTTTAACAATAATAATTAACAACATTCTACCTCACATTATGGTAATATTAATAATACCTAAAAATAAGAGTTAATTTTTAAAGAACATGAATTCTGTTAGAACTACATAAACAATATCGAATAATATAAAAAAAACATCATCGCCCTTTTAGTGTTGAAGGAGTACCGGAGATGCGAGTTGCGAGTTTGGGAGGTACCTAAACTTCAAGACTTGTTTCTAACTCGATTTCACATGGGAAAACAGAAAAAATAACAATAAAATATCGAAAACATCGTTTTCAGCTGTTTATCGTCAAACTCGAAGTCCTTTTTCAATAGAGAGATTTTGCATAAAGTTTCCGTCGTTTCTAGGTCACTTTGTATTTATCGTATTTCAAATAACGTTGACGTTATTTGAAGATGTTTTCTCGTAACGGATTTTGCGGCTATGTTTCAACGGGAGTTTGTAGTAGTTCAGGTTATAGTCGTATGTTTCAAGCTAAACCACGTTCTGACGTTCTGGATTTTTCTCTTGATTGCTGAAGATAGTTTGGCAAATGGTGATTTTTTTAAAGCTCTAACGTACAAAGTAAACATTAATTAATCGGCGATTCGGGGCGAGTTAGTTTAAATGAAATTGAGAACGAAAAAAACTCACTCTGCAGAAATAAAAGCTTTTAGCTTAGTCTATTAATTTTAAGGAAACTAATATGTTACAATTCATACTCGTTGTAAAAACGTTCCATACCGGTCTTAAAGTATTTTAGCTTTCAAATTGCATTTAAGCGGAACATCTGAAGGGACTGTTTTACACAATTACTGTAGTTTGAAGGAAAGAAGTATAAGGTTGCTGCATTTCTAGCCAACTGTTATTTTTGCTTGTATATAAATAAAACAGCTAAATATTTTAATATTGAGTTTGGGCTCAGAGCCAGAGTGAAGTGACTTTGCCCTCTTATCCTGTACTTCGTCTGATCCTAAATCCCGTCCCCTTAGTTCTTATCTCGATCTCAAACGAACGACGTCCATCGTAAAAACCTGAAAGTGCATTTTACCATTGTACTGCAGTTGCAACTGTTAATGAAATAAGACAGTTATTATGAGCAATGGGAATTATGATAATTGAAAATATCACAAGCTTTCAAAAAGACATCTCTTAAAAAAAGTTTTTAAACAGAAAGGAGAGAGAGAGAGAGAGATAGAGAGAGAGAGAGAGAGAGAGAGAATGAGTTTGTGAGTGAGAGAAAGAAAGAATGAGAGAAACAAGGGAGAAAAAGAAAGGCAGAGAAAAGTAGAAAAGAAAGAATGAGAAAAATAGCAAGAGACAAACAAAGAAAAAAAGAATGAAAGAGAGAGAGAGAGAGAGAGAGAAATAAACAAAAATAAATGAAGAGGGAGAGAAAGGGAGAAAAAGGAATAAAGAGTAAATAGACTTACTATATTATTTGCATGGGTTTTAAAATAATCTAATGATATATTTTTTTAAACTTGCATTTCTATTTACGTTGTACTGCACTCTAGAGGTACAGACACACACGCACAAAACCATATGTATATAAAAATTTTCGGCGCACAGTACATTAGTTTTGCAACAACTTCCAGTCGTGATGATTTAGCATAATCGTACAGCCGTGAGATAGAGAAACGGAATGAAAAAGAAAAAGAGCAAGAAAGGAGAAAGGGAGAAGAGAGAGAGAGAAAGAGAGAGAGAGAAAAAGAGAGAGAGTGAGAGGGAGGGAATGAAACAAAAATAAAGGAAGAGGGAGAGAAAGGGAGAAAAAGGAATAAAGAGTAAATAAAGAGTTACCGTGTTATTTGCATGGGTTTTAAAATAAGCTAATGCTATTTTTTCCTGCTTTTACTTGTATTTGTATTTACTTTTTACTGAAATCTACAAGTACAAACAGACAGGCAGACAGAAACACACACCACACACACACACACACACACACACACACACACACAACACACACCAAATATATATTATATATATAAATTTTCATTTTATTTACTACTTTTTTTTATATTTATTATTTTTTCATTAACTCTAAAGATTACGTAAATACTAAAGTTCACGGCGCACAGTTCATTAGTTCAGCAACAACTGTCAGTCGTGATGGTTTAGTATAATCGTACCGCCGTGAAAGCGTTTAGGTTTTCACAGTTTAAACTGAGATTATAATTATATTGCAATCGAATTAATAAAAAATATATTATTTTATCTTGATAATATTGTTGTTATTCTTCTATTCTGTAGGTTGTTACTACAATTTATTTTTTGATGCACTCTATTCCACAGAAGGAGTCATTCAAAAACATAATTTTTATAAAAAATAAAGACTACTTTTTATAAAAAGTGTGTTTTTGGTTGCCACTGTCTGTGGAATAGAGTGGAAAAAGTTAAAAATAAATCGTGTTAATATTCGAACCATTGTTTTACACTTATTTCTACTGTACAGGAGCTGCAATTGTACTGAAATAAGCATGTTACTTTGAGCATTGGGATTTATGATAATTGAATATTTTACATGTTTTTACAAAGTCAGTCTACTTCCTCTTAAAACCATTTTTAAACAGAGAGAAAGTCACCCATACCCTAGTTTTTGAAAACCCTCCCTTTCTTACCTCAAAGTTAGCATTTAGAATATATAATTGGTTAATATTTTATTTTATTGAGAAGGTAAAGAGAATGAATCTCAGATTAACATTTTTTTTTTAAATGCCTATTCTATTGTACTAAAATAGAATAAGTCGAATTTAACTCGTAATTCATTTGTATCTTTTTTTTCATCTGTTTTAATACATTCAGAGGATTTTTGAACATTTTACATCTCCACCATCTTCCGAGGTTGGAATGGTATAGAAATAGTACTGGAGCATGCCACCATGCCATTTGTTTTTGTGAGCTTTTGTCCTTTTTTTCAACCGAAACAGCCACCTTGCAGGTCACCATCGTCATCGCAACTGGGCTCCAACTTCATGAGGCGCCTGTGGATCTCCTCCGTTATTTCAACATACACTTCACTAATGCCCAACAAGTTTTCCTTTTTTTTCTTTCTTCAAATTCTTCCTTATTTTGTAATTTATTTTGCCAGCCCAAACAGTTGAAACACCAAATATACATACATAAAAGATTAGCTATAAAATAAACAATTTTATTATAATTCTACATATATAATATTATTTTTTTAAATTGGACAGTATCTCCAACAAAAAATATTTCGTTGACTTTACCGACACCCATTAATAACCGTTAACAAGTACGATATTATAAAATAAATAACGTTGGACGCTATTCAGATAGCGTTCCGTTAATTCTGCGCATGAGTACGTGAATCAATTTAGCGTTGATTCAACACTAACTTTATGCAAACGTCCTTGTTCGATTTTTTCTAGGCAAAACGCAAAATAATAATATAATCAATTCAGTTTTTGATGTAGTGTATATTTTCTTATTTTTACCAAAGTCTTCTAGGAGGAGGGCGGATCTTCCTGTGTTCCGGGTAAGAGTCGAACGATTTAAGTATGAACCGTCTGTTGTTGACGGTCTTGATAGTTTTTGGGAAAAGATCCCACTGTGTCCTCTTGATTTCGAAGAGTGAACAGAACGGCTTCTTTTTAAGCACGAGATGGTGCTTTTTGAAAAACGCCCCGACGGATTTGTCGTAGCCGCTTTTGTAGCTGTACATGCTGAAAAGGGTCGGCGGATCGAATCGGGCTTTGGTCAAGAACAGGTTGACGTTAATTTCCTTCTGAAGTTTGAAAATGTTCCTTACATTTTCTGAGATTTTCTGTAGACAAAAAAAAAGAAAAATTTAGTTATAATAGTTAATATCAATTTTCGTTAAACGTACAATAACATCGTCGAAATTTCTTATTCCCATTTGTTCTAAGGTTTCTGCGTTCATTAATACCAAGTGTCTTCCGGCGATGGAGTTTTCAAGGAAGTTTCTCTGTGAAGTTTAAAGTTGGGTTTGACTTCAAAATCAAAAATGTGTTTTCAAATATTACCCTGTATTGTGGCATTTTTAAATCGTCGGAAATCCATTTGCTGACCCTTTCCACCGACCAATCAAACACTGGATTGTTATTCACTATGTTGTTCAAGTGATATTGAGCGATTGCAGTTAAACGCATACTCAAAGGTGCTTCTGCCGCAGTTCGCCTGTGAAATACGGACAGTTATCGCCCAAATAGCGAATATTCTGTTTAATAATTCAAGATTCTTACAAATGCTGAGGGGTTTTCTTTTTTAAAGGAATTCGCAGGCAAGCGTTTTCAGGCTCGGTAAATTGTGCCATCAGATTTTTGAACAATCTTTGTTTTATTGGTGGCCCGCCCATTTTGACTTTCACGACGCACTTTTTTAGATCGATTTCTTTCGGACTGCACACGCTACAACGGCTAGGTGGTCTCCTACAAAAGTATAAACGCAATATTAATTATCCGATTAACGCTGTTAGCGTATATAGCAGGTTTTTTATTTTTTTAAATATTTTCTTTTACTACAAGTAAAGTTGTGGATATGTACAAACTTTAAAATAAACTAAAATAAAATTTGGCACAGTAATGGTGACACTATGTGTTATGTCTCTTGCTCAAATGGTCGCGAGGCTACTGCCGCGCTATCTCCTTGGGGGATTATCGGAGATAGTTCAGGATGTTAGATTTAAAATTAAGGGATTTTGAATTTTAAGGCCATTTTGAATTGTGTAATTTAATACTTAGAGGGAACTTAGATAATTCCCTCCGCAAAGAAAATTTTGGATTGGAAAATCTGGATGCGGTGATAGCTGGAATGTTTGTTGAAACTCACAGTTCAATGCGGTAAGTACAAATTTACTAGATTTAATTGTCTGGTATATCAGTCGTTTGTTGAGAAGCGTGCGTTTTGATCGTTTATCAAGAAGAATGTTTTGTCTTGTATGTGAATTCCGAGTTGGTCTTTTGTAGATGTACAACCGAAGGCAGCGGACGTGGCTAACTATAGCAAGGTATATGTTTCCCACTAGGGTTGCAATGTCATTTAACATTGAGGTTCTTTTGCGTGGGCACCTGGCACATAGACCTTATCACACATTTAGATTCTCAAGTTAGGAGCGACTCACCTCCGCGCACGGTCGGTGTAGAAGCCCACATCATCCTGCAGCATGCCGATTTCGACTTCTCCCGCTTGCCCCTTCCGAGATTGGGTTAACATTGTGCATTTGACCAGTGCCGTGCGTAAAGGGATACCCGAAAGGTGGTCGAAATGCATCGGCCAAGCCTCCTATACACTCCCTAGATAGAAACGGCAACTCTATCTCTGGATGTAGGGGCTCCGCTAGCGTCGAAACCTTCAGATGCGCCCTGGCCACGGTTTCGAGTTTAGTGGAATCTCTAACCACCCCCCTAGAGGAGACTGTGCCTACGGTAAAAGCAGTCCAGACGACGACCACCGATAAACATTCGCCCCCGTCCACCATTCCTCACGCATTCGAGGGATACCGTCATCGTAGTCATAGCTCCTCGATAGCTGTACGCTTGGGCAGTCCGACCCTTCCGATTCCCATGAGGTCGGGAGGTAATTCGGTGGTCATACGCAAGTACTACGGTCCTCGGCCAGGAATGGAACACAACCTCTACGGGTCTCGCCACTAAGCCACTACCCATGCATGAGTATTTACCCATGCAGCTGGGCTTGAACTTGGAACGAAAATATGCTGCCCTGCAGTTCAAAAGGTTACGCACCCTCCCCCGACCGTATATAAATATATATAGACAGGATCTGGTACCCTAACCCCCGTGTGACTCTGATGCACCCGCCGTCCGGGGTCAGCTCGCAAGCCAACAACTCCCTTATCGCATCTCGAGGTAGGCGTAGTCTTGGCGTCCTTGCATGCTGTACGCTTCCTTGGCCTTATCGTCCAAATGCATGCAGAGGATGCTTAACGCGATCATGCGCGTCAGGAAACTCGTGCAGCTTCATGATTCCACGTCGGAGGGTGTTGGCTTTTATATACATTTATTTTTATCCGCCACTTTTTCAACCGAGGTTCTATTTTGATTAGGTGAGCCTGTTATGAACGATTAAGGGGCGGGATAGCAGTATCACCCGCAAAAGTGTGAATGAAAGTCGAGATGGATAGGGAAATCAGAAGTTACGTTGAATAAAGGATGGGTCCAATAATAAAATCCTGTGGGACTCCTGCCTTAACTGGATAATAGTCAGAGAAAGATGTTCCCTGGCTGACCCAGAACCGGCCAGTCAGGTATGATTGCAATATGAGGAATGATGTGAAGGGAAACTCTCAGCTTCCACAGCGAACCGGATGCCATATCAAGAAAAGAACCCAATCAGTACAGCTTCAGCTCAAGAGAGGAAGAGTCAGCGTCCACAACACGGTGGGATTGCTGGATTGGATTGGAAGGAGCTTCTCCAGGATTTTTCTTAGGATAGATAAGTGGCTTATCGAGTAATAGGATTGAGGAAAATGGTTAGGTTTATAGGGCTTTGGTATCGTTCTTACATGGAAAACCTTCATTATAAAATAATATGAGTAGTTCTAGGGTAGCAATTTTCAGGTATGTTAAGTAGAGGATTACTTTTTAGAGAGGGATCGGACGATTTCAGAGGGTGTAAGGTCATATCCCTGAGCTTTCTTTTTAAGAAGTTTTTCGATGATGTATTGGATGGATGAAAAGCTATTGGTTGAAAGGAAAGGGGTAGTGGTTGGACTAGTTCTTTCTCTATCTATTCGACAGCAGGTATTAAATACAAAACATCATTTTTTTCTTACTGCGTTTTGTCCTTTTTATTGACTGTTGTGTCCTCACTGGAAGATTCTTTTTCTGAAAAAATATCTTTTGGAAGAGGACTTGGGAAAAAAAGTGCCCTTGCATCTTCGCTTTGTGCGTTTGATCTTTTGCTATCCTCGGTAACACTTTCTTTTGAATAAGTTGGCACGTTTCTAAAACACATTGGGCTATTAATGGAAATAATCCACATAAAGTTAAATTTAGACTATAAATTAGTGTTCAAAAATATTTTCAAGGAATTCTCTTTAATTGTCATTCTATGTAAATAATATTGAATGCTGAACTAAACTAAATTTAGACGAGAAGAAATAAATTTATAACAACTTATACATTTGAATAATTAAACTTTCCATGTAGAGAAAGTATATTTTAATCTGCATATTAAAAAATGGACAAAAAAACACGTTTCTTAAGTGTATTGAATAACTTATTCAGTTTAATTATATTTATATGTTCATCTGTTTAAAAATTAAGATAATTACTTTATGAATGCAAAAAACCCAGGCATAGAAATAGTTACATGTGTAAAAACACATGGGTTTGTAAAAAAAATCAATACGTATTTTACCCGGGTTAATCGCATAGCTTATCACTCACGAGTAAGAACGCAGTTTTCTGTACTTGTAAAGTTTTTCTCCGATATTTTCAGTAGCCAATTTGAATACGGATGAGAATTTTTGTTCGAGATCTTCTTTGAGAGGGTGCGGTGCCCAGGGGATGAGTTTTAAGTTGCTTTTTCGTGCCTGGTCGCTGCAATATTCGGTAAATAAAGCACAACGGAAAAGTTCATATAACTGGAAACTCACGTAACGGAGTGGGACATTTTCATGTTACAGCTTCTTGTTTTAGTGGTCACATTTTTACGCTTAGAGTCTAAACAAAACGGTATGTCTAAGCTCTCGAAGGATAGCTTCGGCGATAACTGTTCTTCCTGTTCCCCAGAAGAAAATTTTATATGGCTCTTACAATCCGCCATTTTCCTCCACAAATTAATTTAATTTGTACGTATAAATAAATAGTTCATTTTCAAAACATATGCGTTAATAATATATGTTTATGTTAGAACGGATAGACGTACTATGTAAATTTACTCTTTCGTTCCACAGTAATGCTGAAGAAGATTTATGTTTGTTCCAGTATTATTTGCATGGGCATTAAAATAAGCTAATTATTATATTTTTTTTGCTTTTACTTGTGTTCACTTTTTCATGAGCTTTAAAGATTACGTAATACTCAATTTCAAGGCGCACAGTTCATTAGTTCTGCAACAACTGCCAGTCGTGATGGTTTAGCATAATCGTACAGCCGTGAAAGCGTTCGAGTTTTTGCGATTTAAACTGTGACCATAATTGTGCTGCAATCATATTAATATTTTTTTTTTACATTTTAACCATTGTTTTGCGCTTACCATACATTTTACCACTATACTGCAGCTGCAATTGTAATGAAATGCTTTTGCTATTTTGAGCAGTAGAATTTTTGAAAATTGAATATTTCACATTCTTTTATAAAGTCAGTCTTCTTCATCTTAAAACATTCTCAAACAGAAAGAAATAAACAGAGAGAGATGTATATAGAGAGAAGGAGAGAGAGAGAGAGAGAGAGAGAGAGAGAGAGAATGAGTGAGTGAGAGAAAGAAAGGGAAATGGAAAGACAAAGAAAAGTAGAAAAAGAAATAATGAGAAAAATAGTAAGAGACAAACAAGGGAAAAAAGAAAAAAAAGGAGAGAGGGAGAAAGGGAAAACGAATAAAGAGAAAGGAAGAAAGAAAAAGAAAAAAGAGAGAAAGAGATGAAAAAGAAAGAAAGCGAGAGAGAAATTAAAAAAAGACAGGTAGAGGGAGAGAGAGCGAGAGAGAGCGAGAGAAGGAGAGGGTTAGAGAAAATTAAGAATTAGTAGTTAATAAATTACACGGCGCAAAGTTCATTAGTTTTGCAATAACTGCAAGTCTTGAAAGTTTAGCATAATCGTTTAGCCGTGAAATTGTTCGACTTTCCCAGATTTTTCCCATATCTTCTTTTACGTTTTGAAATTGTTCTATATTTTCTACTATTTTTGTTGGATTCTAAAGTTCTACTTAACCGATAGACATTGTCAAGTCGTAAGTAGGTGCACTCTGCGGGTGCCCCAAGGATGTATCTTACGACCCTTCCTTTACACAGTGTAAACCAGAGACATTCTCAACCGTTTTGATTCTATACTTACCTGCTGCGTGGAAAATATCACCATCCATTGCTCTCATGAAGATACGGCTTCTCTACCAGAAACCTGAAAAGTTCAAGCGGAGGAAAATGTGATAACTTTCAACCAAAAGTGAACCCCTGCTTCCATCTGATTCAATAATATTTTTTCTCCCAACCTATCAGACCGCTAACAAAGAAAATGAAAAGAAAATAGAGAGAGAGAGAGAGAAAGGAAGACAAAGGAATAAAGAGAGAGGAAAAAGGAAGAAAAGGAAAGAAAAAACAGAGAAAAAGGGAACGAGGTGAAAAAGAAAAAAGTGTGCGATATAAAACGATACAAAAGAAAAGAATAAAGAAAAAAACAGAGAGCAAAAAAGAAGATAAAAGAAGCAGGGCAAGAGAGAAATCAGATGAAAAGAACAAGAGAAAGAGAGAGCGGTAGTGAGTGATAGTGGATAGAGAAGGAGGGAGTGGTGGAGAGAGAAAAAGAGGAAAACGAGTGAGGGGGTGAATAAATGGGTTAGTGAGAGAAGAAGGGAAAGAAAAAATAGGTTCAAATAGAAGAGAAAAATAGGTTCATACGCGCTTATATTATCGGTTTTTGTGCAAGCTTGGATGTTATTTTTGAAAAACTGTTCGTTTTATCGTTCTAGAGAACTTTTCCATAAATGAGAGAAAAGAACAGATAAATAAAATATCAGGGACAACGAGGAAATTGTTATTAGGTGTCGTTCAAGAAGATTTAGCCTTCACGTGTGTAAATAGTATAAATTATACAGCAGTGTATGGATGGATTTTATCGGAAGCGGTTGTCGAGGGTTTTAATATAATTATTTTAATAGAGAAGTAATATTTTTTGAAAATTGTTTATGTATTGAATAATAACTGTTTATCAATTGGTTTTTGTTATTGATTGAGTAATTTTATTGAGGTTTTCTTACTTATTCTATTATATATACATTGTAAGGCATTGTGAAAGCTTATTTTCACTGAAATGGTGGGCGATGTGGCACGTCTGAATCAAATTGCACCAATTTATAATTCGGAGGAGTTCGTGATAAAAGATTCATATTCTTTGTGCGAAGTTCACCTTCAGAAGTGGTCCATTGATCGTTGTTATGCTGAATCCTCTATTCACCGCCGTCACTAATCTTCCAAGAAATGGACCATTATGCTGCCCCTTTGAAAACGAATCACAAACAGAATGCGATCTCTTAAATTTCTCCCGTATAACAAATAACGGCTAACATACCTTGGGATATTAAATATTAAAGACAGCCTTTTTTCATTAAAAAGTTATTTGCCCTTCCCAAAACCACCCCGAATTTTATGATTTATTTAGAGACTAAACTTGACCCGTTATTTTTATATACCTTCGAACTTCATTTTAATTACATCTTTAAACTCTTGAAAAATCCTGATTACGTCTTTCCAAAATTGTAGCCCTGGAAGTCGTTAGTCGTGGTGCATTGTGGTTTCAATGTAGGAATAGCATGTGTAGGGATCTATCATGTGACTCATCATTTTCCATAAATAACATGAATGAGTGGCCTTTGCAGTTTAAGGAAATTATAACAAAATTGAGTGTCAATTTCAGTAAAGAACTTCGTGAACAAGTCAGATCAACCTCGCGCTTTTTATTCTATAAGGAACTTTACCAAGATGATTTTAATATGTTTAACCTATCTAAGGACAGGTCTAAAGGTTTGTCATTGGTCGAGTTAAGGTGGTTATTCAAAATCAAGTAGGGAACCTCCTTTATCTCAATGGTGCAGCTTTTCGGGCTATGTAATTTGTCCATTATGCAATGACCAGGTTAAAGAAGACATAGTGCATTTTATTGCAAAATGCACTATCCTATCGGAGATTCGGCTTCTGCGTCTAAATTTTTCTAAATTGAATATGACACAGGTTATTGACTTACTGCTTAATGATTACAAAAATTCAATCAAATATGGGATATGGGGAATAATGCCTGGCACTATCGCCAAGAGTTAACATTAGAATTTAATTTTTGAATATTTTAAAGCCTTGTCATTCTAAATTGCTGGCCCAAATAATTTATATATCTATATTATTGTAAAGTAAGCGAAGAACAAAAATTATTGTTTATAATGTATGCTAGTAATTAATGTAATTATTAAAAATTAAATTATCAATTGGAATATTTATTTATGGATCAATTTTTTTTAAATTTTTTCTTTTGTACATTTTTCTCTGTGTTGACCAAAAATTTAAGTCAAATGAAAATCGACCTCCGGCAGACGGACCCTCCATGCCGTAATTTTACTTTAAATTATATACTATGTAATGTTTATAACTTTTCTTTTTGCAATTATTATTATTATTATTATTATTATTATTAATTTTTAAGGGCGTTTTAACGGCTAAGGTCATTTCACGCCCTGACATCCAAACCTTCTATCTTAGGTTAGCTATGGTTCTGAGTGCTATAAAGCTCTGACTCCAAACATTCACTCGTAAACTAATTTATCCTATTGCCATCCAAGCTTTAATTTTTCTTCTTAAAATTCTTAATTCGGAAGGCCAAATGTATACAAAATTCCCATTTTAAATTGCATAAAATTTAATAAAATTATAAAATTTATTTCTGTTTCTTTTTTTAATTAGAATTGTGAATTTTGTTCCATAATTTAAAAATTCCCCGTAGGCTTGTATGGCTAATAATAATAATAATAATGGAGTCAGACTAGCAACAGTCTCAGCATGAGTATTGGCTCATCCTTATCCTTTTATTCTTCCATTCAAATATGATACATAAACTAATTCTACATAACAATAATAAGAAACAAAACACAATAACATTTCTTTATCTTTATCTTCTTTTTTTTTGTTTTGGAGGGAGCTATTTTTCTTATTTAAATTGCGATTTTGGGCATTGCAGTTTATTCCCCCGCAATTTGTATTTTCTTCCATTTCATTTTTCCGCTCCGGCAGCCTCAAAAACCTCTGAAAGAAGAAATCTTGCACGCACAACTTTTATTCAAACATTAGCAGGCATTCAATGATATAACAATTTGGGAAAAGGCCTAAATCTCATTATAAATTCCAATAAATTTGAGAAAGCTGAAAAGTGCTCTTCGAAAGAAACACTGGGGACCCAGTAACTCCTGTAAATCACTCGAAAGGTTGAGCCTTTGCCTAAAGGGTTGTAAAGTGGGACAGTCGACCAAAATATGTTTTACTGTCAAAATGGTGCGTTCTCCACTTCGCGTACATCGAGGACAAGTTGGAAGGTTGTTGCCTATTAAAAACCTATTATGGATTAGCCTGATATGACCTATTCGCAATCTAGAGAGAATCACAAGTTCTTTTCTCTCAAGTTCCTCAGTTGGCCATTTATGTACAACTGGCTTTATTATTATTATTATTATTATTAAAGACAGCCTTCTTGAACATCCTTTATCTTTAACAAATTAATCTTAATAAACATAATAAACCTTTCTTCATTTATCTTCTAACATGCCATCAAGATTTATCCTTATTTCAAATTGTGCTTTTTTTTAAATTACATTTATTTGGTATTTACAACTACAAGTGATGTATTAAGTAAATATGTTCGTATATGTTGAATTATCATTGGAGGCTCTTGTAGGAGAAGTTGCCCAGTAACACTCCTTCACACTGATACCTTGTTCAGTCTTCACACAATGAGAAGGTCTCGGGGCTACTTTCGCTTCAATCGTCTTGAAGGATTTTCAGGTAGGGTTTGAAGTGATAAATTTCGTACGAAAAGATTACTGTGTGTGTTCAGTGATTGATGAAATTTTTTATATCGGGTTTTGATGAGTTCGTGTACAAACGGGATGTGTAGGTCTTTATGGATAGTGTAATTT